ATATTAATTTCCTAAATTCTTTACTGATTATTTTATTATATAAGATTATTTTCAAATCTTATATCGACTTTTGATGTGTGTAACTATTTTTATTTGTTTTTTATTATTCCTCATTAAAACCATAATTGTCTTCTGTCCGGATTTATATACTTTTGTTTTTTTTTTTTTTTTAAAACGAATAAAATTTAAAATATTATTTCAGTCTTATTATTACACTCGCTGAAGAAATTTCATCATCTAGTAACGAATAAAATCATTAAGTCAAGAGATAGAAACTACATCATAATATAGATAACGTTATAGAATCAATTAATAAGTACTTGATCACTTAAAAAATTATAGGTAAGTATTTAAATTATTTATCTTTTACCAGCAAACGGCTAGAAAAAACTGTTTATATCGTGAAGTATGTTATTTGATTAAAATTTAAAAATATAAGTAATCATGAAAAAACAATACTTGAATAAATTAAGAAAGAAGAAATAATAATAAATTAAATTATTAATATCATATTAGGTGAAGAATAAATGGAAAGTAAATATAAGGAAGTGATAATATCAAATGATAGCTATTTACATTAGAAGTTGGATAGCTCATTATATTATATGGAATTGTTTACTTTTTATCTTTCAAATAACTTGTGTATACGACCGATATTGATTTCTCGATTTAGATCGAATTTAAACGGATAAACGGCTAGAAATAAAGACATTTAATTTAAATAGAATCGCTTATCCGCGAAATTAATTTGATTTCGAATAACAACGCAATGATTATTTGTGGCAATCTGTTAGATATGCTTTAGTAAAAAGCTGTAGTAATAAATTTTGCTTATTAAGTTATTATTAAGTTCTATAAAATCTTTGTAAAGTTAGTTATTTTTTTTTCTTTTTATTTTTCGAAAAGAATTTTCTTGTATTTCGCACATTATAAAAAGTTTCTGGAAATTGTATAAGATTTATACTGTCCAGTATTCCGAGAAAGTGTGAATATCACAGTTAAAAATTTGGCTAATGAAACTTGGTTAGTTTTCTTTTTTATCGAATAAATGATACATATCAGTAAGAAAAAATAATATTATAGCTTTATTCAATTCGCATATATACTATTGAAATGTGAAAAAAGTTGATATAAGGCAGTAGTTCTTATCATTTTTCGGATAACGTAAAACCCCAGGAACCCAAAAAAAACAGTTTAAATACTACTGAAAGAACAGATTGTTAGAGCAATAAATCAAATGTTATTTTACATTGCAATTTTGCATTACAATATATTTCCGGTTTTAGTTTCATTGTAAAATTGAAATATTTGAAAACACAATAGTAATTGTATATCTTAGTTGCTTTTTCTTCTTCTAGTGGACATTTAACAGAAGATGATTTTTAAAATCTTGGTCATATTTTTAATTACGTTCACAACAATCAACACAACTCCTTGCAAGGAGAATCCAACATGCGAATGTTCGTCAAAGAAATCAGAGGAATTAAATGTTGTTTGCAATGTTGATAATAGTACAGGATACATCGTCAACATTAAATCAAGGAATAATATACAGGTATATACACGGAAGCTTTTTTATTCAACCAATTTTCCCCAATATCTTTACTTATAAAACTACAAAAATAGTTTTATATTAAAGAGATTTATTCTGATTATCTATTATCTTCTAAAAGATAAATCAATCAATTACTTATTTCTTTCGAGTAAAATAAAATGATAAAATTACAGATCGTTTGTAAAAATTGGAGAACATGGGAAGATTTTTTTATCAGAGGACATTTATCCGAAAAAAAACTTGAATCCCTGAGCTTCGAAAAATGTGGATTACCAAATGGAATTAGTTTAAAAGGCGTGGTAAAACGAATAAGAGTAACAGGAACGCACACCCTCATCTTTAAATCTTTTAAAAACCTTTTCGCAACCCTAAAAAGAGAGCATCTTCAAGGATTCAAAAATGTGAAATCATTAGTTTTATCTGATAACGGTTTAATTGATATTACTAATGATTTGTTTTTGGATTTTTCTGAACTGGAGTATATTGACTTATCAAATAATTATTTAGACCTACCTGTTACTATTTTCGATTCAACTCCGAATCTAAAACGAATTGTATTAAGTACAAATGGAATAGATAGGATACCTGTTGGAACATTTAATAATTTAAAAAATTTGGAATTTCTAAATATTATGTCAAATCTTTTGGAAAAAATCGAACCAGGCGTATTTGATGAATTAGTATCTTTAACAAGTTTGAATCTAGCAATGAATTTATTATTGGAACTACCGTCAACAATTTTTCATGGGTTAAAGAATTTGAAAAAACTGGATATATCTATGAATGTTTTTACGTCTTTACCAGCAAATCTTTTCGATCAAAACAAAGAATTGCGAGAATTATATCTAAATAGTAATTTTAAACAAATAAGCACCTTGCCAGATAGTCTTTTGTCAAACTTGACAAAGCTTAGTGGAGTCTATTTGAACAATAATGGATTTATATCTTTACCAGAAAATCTTTTCTGGGGTTCATCGTCATTAGAGTATATCTTTTTAAACGATAACTTTCTTGTTACTTTACCCCAGAATATCTTTCGTGGTCTAAACAAAGTTGTAAAACTGTCCATAAAAAATAACAAAATTGAAATTCTTCCTGATATAATCTTTGAAGATATGGAAGAATTAAAAGTACTCGATTTGTCAAACAACCGAATGTTTCGTGTATCAAAGTAAGTATTTATACAATTTATGGAAAATATATTTTTAATATATTTTACTTTCAAAATATAATATTTTTTAGAAATCTATTTCTCGGTATGGATTCTCTTTATGAATTAAATATGGAAAGAAATCAATTAAAATTTATCTATACAGATAGTCTTATTCCTCTTAAAAATCTACAAATTGTGAGGTTGTCTCATAATCCGTTAAAATTGCCTAACATAGAAGGAAAATTATCAGTTTTTTCTACAAATCAAGATCTCGAAGAATTGTATTTATCGAATACTAGCATAAACTA